TTTGAATTTTTTACTGTATGTGTAGTAATAAGAATTTTAATTATGAAAACCAGAATTTTTCCGCTATACCGTTACAATAGGAACGGAAAATTTACCAAACGAATGGTTCATAAATACAATATATTTTGGTTTTGTTATCAGAATTATGGGTTTTTCTACCAGAAATGTCATTACCAGTAAGTACGGAAATTTTACCAGAATTTCTTCTCTTTGTGGTATTACTAACATTCTAGAGATCAGGTTTGGATAGGGTCCCCCCCCCCTCCCAAATATGAAGAATAACAGGGTAACTTACACACTAAAAACGGTCAAAAATTCACTAATGCGAATATATAATGAATCAACTTTTCAAGGTTTATCACCCTAAGCAATTTAAAGACAATTCATTAGTAATCTAAGCACCGTAGCGGACTGAATTCTATGAATTTTTTAAATCGTTAACAGTCTAAATTTGGTTCAGCGTTGAACCATAATATCGAAACCTTGAATCATAATATCGTGTATATTTGCTGGTTAAAGTTTTAAGTAGAGTCATATTTTCGTATAAATAGAACCATTGCTTTTGTGTATGATGATATGGTGAGGCTTAGTAACACAATAACGGTTGCAGAAAATTTAGGCGATATAGTAGTTAGACATGCTATAAAATTTAGCAAAACAAGTTATTTTAATTGGTTATTTATCATCTAAAATTGTTTTGACACAGGGCATTACATTCTGTTAAAACTGAAATTTTTTGCAGGAGAAAACTCACATTTCACCAGAAAAGTATAATTTCTCAGAATCATTATCAACCGAATATTGAAACATTTTCTAAACTACGTTGCTTAGTTACCAAGTTAAATCACTTCAAATTGAATCAACTTATAATTTTTCTTTTACATCTTTTTACATAAAATGATCTTTTTTATGGCTGACTAACTAAACAATTTTTGCTAAGAATCGAAACTGATAAAAAGTTTGAAAAAAAAAAGCTTTTTTTCTAGTAAAGTCTATTTTGAACAAAATTTTGGAAATTGAAGGAGTGGATCTTAGAAATACCGCCACATTTTAAAACAATTTTAAATCACTACCCTATACGTAATAAATACATTTACAAACTAGACATTTGTTATAAAGGCTGTCTTAAAAAGCGTAGGGAAATTTTAAATTTCATTACATTTTATTATATCAACAATCAAAAATATTTAAAAACTTTTGAATTAGTTACTTCTAGTTATGAGTTGGTTTTAAGTGCACATTTGTTTTTAAATTTGTTTCTTACACTGAAAAGTAGGAAAATGTTTTTAAAAAAAAGAGCTTTCGTATTAAAAAGGGTTCGAAAAAATTGAAAAAAATTATATTTAAGTTTTAATCTGCTCTTTTCGTTAATTAATTGTAAACAATAGGAAAAGAAATATAGAAACAATGGTAAAGGGAAATATTAGCTTCTTCAGCAGCTTTATGGAGCTACCATCTATGTTGGAATGAGAGTATCGTATTCGAATAGTCCAGGGTCACAAATGGGGGGAGTGCCGAACACTGGAAACTTTTGATGTGTTGAAGAGAAGAGAGGAAATATTGTGATGTCAACACTGGGATTTAAACTCCCCTTCTGTCTGTCATGAAACTAACAGATTAGCCTTCTCAGGTATAATATGTACTCAACTGTAAGGAGCTAAGTGGCTTTATTAGATGGGCCTAGTTGGTGAGATAAAATACTGGTTGTTTAACCGTATTAGGTGAAAGCAGGTAATAAACGATTTTTCTCATAATTAACAATTTGAATACTATCTTAGTCGTTTATTGTTATTTAACTCTTTGGTGTGAATATGGTCAAATGACAATCAAATATATTGTTATTTAACCATTTTTTCCGGAAAATTTCTAACAGTGTATTAATGCATAGAATTCATGTGATATATCGTAAGAATATATTCAAAAATATGATCATCATAATCTAAACAAATATCAATAATTTTTAAATTGCATAGATATATCGCATGGCTTAAGTCAAGGAGGTTAAGAAGTAAAATCTATGCATATTGATGGCCACACTAAAGCATCACCGCCTTTTGAATCCCACTCCAAAAATACTTTCTGACACGGTACCCACAATTATTCTTTTGCGATAAATGTTACGCATCGATTTGAAAATTCTTTATTTGTTCTTTTTTCCATCTGTTCAGAAATTTTTTTATAAATTTTCCTCTTAAGGGTTGTCCGCCCATTTAGGCTTTCGAAAACATGTTTTATCCCTCGGCCCCGTTAATGTCTAAGCAGAGAATGATTGGCATAAAGGCTTATCAATTTAGCTCCACCCTTGAAAATGAAAAAAAAAAAAAACTTTTTTTTCCACTTCTTTTTCTCATCTCTAGAATTTTTCCCACCCGTTTATTATCCCCCTTCTAAATCTGAAGATTCCTTCTTTTTTCCTTCGCTTTCGAAGTAAGAACGCAAACCGGATTATTTTACTGTAACATTTAATCACCACTTTAAAAAGAGAATGCTGATGGTGAAAAATACGCTTTTATTTCTTGCAGAGAAAAGGATATGTAATTTTTTCCCACCGACCTAGACTCTTTTTTTAAAAAAAAAGAATAAAAAAGGAGCTTATCTTAATGAAACAACTGCTGCAAAAGCAAACAACTTATACACTAAAAAGAGGGGACCTTTAATTTGTTAATATTATCTAGTGCCCTACTAGTGCTTGGCTCCACATATGATTTGTACTTACAACTCCATTCTCAAAAGTAAATGTATTTTTAATGGAGGAATTGCTTTTTTTTTTATCTTCTAAGCCAACGGTTTTTTTAGTTTTTTTTATTTCATTTATGTACGTGTGTGGTGAATGTCCTAGAACTTTCAGACAAGCGTTCATCATTGGAGAAGTATAACTCCTAGCTTCTGTTTAAAGAACACAGGAAAGAAAAAAAAAGAAATTCAATAAATGTTTTTTAGGTTGTTTGTGGCGACGAAGGATTTTCGCTTTAAAATACAATTAAGCGAAGGAAATCATAAATACCTCTGTTTTTTTCGCAAGCGACCTATTGTTCTTCGTTGCCAACAACGGAGAATTTAGACACGAATTTTACAGACCGCAGTAAACGGTTATTTTCAAGATGATTCATAAAAAAACCACAGGAATATAAAGAGGTAGAATAATATTAAAGTTTATAAACTTTGATAAAACGGATCATATAAGTTTGTCCGTGGTAGATAAAATTTTTTTTAATCTTATCATTATTCGCTATAAATTTATTGATAGTTAATGCATTTGACTGAAAGAAGAATGGAATATATGCAAAAGCTGATTTTAAATAACGGGAAATATCTCTACTTTTTTTAAACTTTATTGTTGCAAATATTACTGTATTCAAGTATAAGTGACAGTAAAAGATATACAAAGAAATTAGGAAGAAAAAAATTTAAAGAATGTTTTGAAAGTTTCGATAGTAGAAAAACTATTTAAATAGCAACTTTGAGTAGAGGTTTTAAAGTAAATAATAATTAGCTTTGTTTCATATGGTTAAAGAAAGAAAAATATATGTTTATCAATTTAACTTGAACCATGGAAATGATAAAAAAACTCATTTTATAATATATTTGAATTGAAACTTTGAGTAGAGGAGTAAAAATAAATAATAATTATCTGTGTTTCATATATTTGAGGTAGTGTATCAATTTAACATGAACCATGGATATGATAGAAAAAAGTTTATCTTAATGTATAATTGAAACATATTTACTGCACCAATTACAAGAATCAACCGTTGTGCAGTTTTAAAAATAAATATTCCATTTTAGTAAAAGAATGAGTTCGAAATTTAAGTCTTAAAATTACTTTTAATAAATATTATGTGGGAGAAAAAGTTACAATTGCTTTTTCCAAAGAAAAAAAAAGTAAAAAATTGATATTATTTAATAAAATCACTTAAGATTTATTTATAGATATTTTAATTTCATTCAATTATTTAAAATTCAATGAAACATGTTTATATGAATCATTTTAAAGTTATATGTGCTAATATTGTTAAATATTACGCATACTCTTAGCAATTTTGATTGGAAGCGATTCTTTAAGGAAATAGGATAATATTTTTTTTTTAAAAAAACTAAATGATTCTTCATAAAATATTTTTTATAACACATTCAGCTTTTGAGGAAAAATAGAAACTTAAATTGCTTTGGAGTGCTGGTTTTATTAAATTTCAAGTAACCTTGAAGTCATAAAGGAAAATGAAGTAATGATTAAGTAATAAGGGATAAAATGTTTATTTAAGGTTTTTCCACAAGAATTTCTATAAAAAAAAATTTAAAAAAAGGAAGCGAAAATCTTTAATGAGTAATTTAAGAACTGCCTATTTAATCCGCGTTATTATTAAATGTTTATTTATTTTTAATTTGCTTTCAAATGCAATTTTGAAACAGAATTATTGCTAGTATATAACATAAAATAATTTTTAGTTTTATTGAAAATTAAAAAAAGCAAAAAAAGTAGTAACATATTATAAAGATTTAAATTTTTGAATTTTGTGATATTTCAACTTTCATCTGACTTGCATTTAATTAATGTCCTCATAAAAAGATCGCGAAGTTAAGTGAGAAATAAATTTTAACTTCTATGAGAATTTTGAAATACTATTAAGAAGTCTTCAAAAAATTATTGTATATACTTTCAGAAAAATCAGCTCAGCTTTGATCCATAATAATATTCAATATTGTTTCAACCTTAAAAAGGTGTTAAATTGCAGTTCAAATATTCTGTTCTATAATGATACCTTTCAAAAATGATTTGTTCAAGTATAACCATTATGAAATTAAATCTATGAAGAATTTAATTGCTTGATTTTTATGGTTCAACTAAGCACATTATTAAGGTTTCAGCAGAGTTTTTAACAGTGTATCTTAACACTGCGACAAATGACACACAAAAAATTGTTCCTCTTATAAAATAAAATCCTTATTTACGTCAGATAATAACTTTGAAAATAAATCTATTGTAAAAACATTGAACTTACCACCAGAAAAGCTAGGATGAGACATTTGATTGTTTGTCATATTGTCAGGGGCATCATTTAGTCCATACATTCCCAACAGTTCTTTCATGGTATTCTCTGCGTAATCCTTCATGGTAACTCCCTCAGGTATCATCAGGGTATCACCAGCATGTCTTTTTGCAGGAGGATAGTTCGGATGACATAAATGAGGACTACCTGGCGAGTCATTATTTCTGCCTGTGATAGAATGGCTGGGACTGGAGCTTGATCCTGTCCCATCACGACCACTATTGCGAGACAAGTCCATGACTGGAGTTCGTCCACGCTCTTCATCCACAGTCAAGGCCTCATCCTCTTCGTCATATTCACAATGATCATAGCGCTTAATTTGCGGAGGACTTGTGGCGTTGTTTAAAGGAGGACTGCCTCCAGTATCGTTTTTAGAGTTTAATTTCCAACGCGGAGGCCCTGTGTCACTGCTTAAATCCAAAGGTTGTTCGCCTCCGTTTCCACGATCATTTTCTAATATCCTAGACGATACAGGAGAGGATGGCGACAATGGATTGGGACTGGACCTCGATAAGTCTGTTTGGTTCTCAAAACACTCTTCTTCGGTTGTATATTCGTCATCAGCATTGTAATGGTAGACAATATTTCTAGGTTTGAAGTTTTTTCGTTTATTTCGAGATTGTCTTGGAAGAGATTGACAATCATCTCTGGGGGTTGATCTCGAACTTTTGATGTCACCCTTGGAATCGTCATCGTCGTCGTCATCTTCGACTGGACACAAAGGTGAACGAACTGTCATGGCTGCAGTGGATGGTGTATGAGCAATCACTCTGGGTAATATAGACAAATCTGTATTCGTGACGGAAGTTGGTGGACTACCACCGTTGATTAATACACCGCATGGTTCATCATCATCAACTACACCACCACTTATGGAATTGCTGCTAACCATGGAGGCAAAGCTTACGGAGTGATGATGGGAAGAAACTGAAGCTATGACAGACGATGTGATGGAAGCAAAAGAAGGCGAGGAAGGTCCGGTCGTCGAGGTCATACTCGCGCCGGATCACACAAGTCTGACTCGTCGCCTCTAATCATCTGGACAACACTAACAAATTCCCTGTGAAAGAAAGAGGAAGAAAATATTATTAATAAAATATATTTAATAAACATATAATTCAATTTTAAGTATGGAAATGATTTTATTTTACATTTTGCAGATACATTCTTTGGTAAAGAAAGTGTCTGCAAAATGTGAATAGATATATGCAATGCATTCTTTTCACTGTAAAAAATTCCTTATCAAATTACGGTAAAATCTATTTTTAATGAAGCATGTCATGGAATAAAAATTTTACAGTAATAATTACAGTCTAATCACTCTCATTAAACAAATATTACTGTATAAATTACGGTATTATATTTAATTGTAAAAATGTATTTTACTATAAAATGGATTTTACGGATGATGCACCCAAAGTGCCGGTACTTTAAACCGTAATTTGATCCGGAATTTTTACAGTGTGCCCTTATGTGGATGGCATTTCAAAAAAATTTTAACTATGTTTTGAGTATTAAAAATACTTATTAACATTTTTCTACCTTTAATAACTACTTCTTATTTTAGTTTCAATTTTTAGATACATCTTTAAATGTTACGGATCTTAGATGTCTGGAAAGTACATTTACTTCATAAGATGGAATTGAGGCTAACCAGACAAAGCGAACGGAATGATGATGATTTGAATGATTCTGAATAGTTTATTTAAATACAAATTAATGTTTCCCACAAGATTTCGCGAGTTGCTGCGTAGTTGCCTTGAAAATGAAACAAATATTAACACTTCCCATTTCAAATGATTATGAAAAACGAAGCATGATATTTAAAATTTTAAAAAGAAGTAGTTTCTCCGATCATAGATCTTGGCTTAAAAATTATATATATAAAGGAATGATGAAATGTCAAAACACAGGTAGGTCATTTTTAATCTTTTTTTAGTTTCCGGGGGAAATTTTTTGAATGATTCTGATGGTTAGGTCAAAGAAAAATGAAAGAAAAGGGCGAGATGTTTGAAAAATACTCCAAAATTAGATAAGCCCCTAGGGATATCTTCAGTTTCTTTGATGAAAATACATAACAGGTGACCGACCCAGAAGCTTCTAAACTTGTCGTTCGAGGTTGATTTAGTTTTAATCGATAGTGCTGTAGCGATGCCGAAGAATGGCAGAATGAAGTCTATCTGCATATCAAGTAGCTTCGGTGATCAAAACAGGATTTAAAAACTATTATACCAACAAATGGCAGTTTTTAATAATTTTTTTTTCTTTCAATTTCGGCACAACAAATGCTGTTAAAAAATTTCTGTTGTGTTTTACCTTTTCTGAATTTTAAAAATAGATAAGTAATTAAAACCTAAATATCTGACATGGCTGCTTTAAAATATTGTAAAATCTAATCCTATATTGATAAAGTAAATAAATTTTAAATAAGGCATTCAACAAATATTTTAGAATAGAACAGTCTGTTTAATGTTTTATATACTCTCAAAAATATTAGTTCAGTATTTAACTATCATATCGCTACTTAGTACCATAATATCGAGCAAATGAGCAGTAACCATAAAAATGTATGAACCTTAACAATTTAACCATGCACTCGTTCATGTTTCCATGGTTAAAAAAATTAATTCGCATGGTTTCCGTTTGGCGCTATATTAAGGTTACTGTAGTTGTGAATTATATTATGGCTCAACGCGCTTCAGAACTTATGTAGGAACTTATATTTATTTTATTTATTTACAATAGCTATAAAAAAGCTGAAATGTGAAACTAAAAAATGGATGAAACTATACGTTTTTTAATAAGTAAACGTTTCAATTTGACCAATAGATACTATAACTATCCTATAGTGTCAATCGGTCAAATAAATACCGTAGAAATCAGTTAAAAAATTTTAGTTAATACTTTTTTAAAAATATTGAGAAAGTGTTTTAGAACATGGAAATTTCGGAAGCGGATAAGCAGAGTTTTGTAATTGAAAAATGAAAACAAAAATGTATAAAACTAAATGTCTTTTTCCCTATTAACAAATATACATTGTAAATAAGCTTCTTAATCTAATGGTTAATTAAATGCTGTAAAATGCAGTTTAAAAACGTTCAAGTAAATACTCTTTGAGAAACTTGGCATATATATTGAGAAATTGTGTTATAACTTTTTTGCTCCGAAGTTTCTGAAGCGAGTAAGTGGAGTTCTGTAATTGAGATACATGGCAAGGTTAGTTCAAATTGATCTTGATTGGACATGATCTTAATAAACGCAGCTGGACTCTGTCTGTTGTAAGCCATTCCCACGAAATTCACACACACTCTGAGTGTGATTCATATTTTTAAACTCCCACCGTTTTCAACGCAATGAACGGGGTCAGGGGGCAAAGGGCAGTCTCTAAAAAATACAAAAAAAGAAAGATTTGAATTAAAAAAAAAAAGGCTAGAGCTTCACACTTTAATAGCGAAGGGGAGTTAAAGAAAAGAACGCATGACGCCACGTCCGCGCAATTTGAAGAAAAAGTGGAAACTTTTGTATCTTAATGTTTCAATGACGAAAAAAGAGGAAAAAGACACTCAATAATAATACCAAACACCACTCAAAAAAGGACCAAAAGAAAGAGTAAATGCCTAATGATACAAGCAGTAATTGTATCCTGGGCGTTGACAAAAAGAGTTCGTAAAAGCATATGAAGAAAATAACTACATAACTCTCGCTTATTTTATTCTCTCGCTTTTTTTAATATTGTTGAAGAACACGTGCATGCGCAATGTAACATTGTGGGCATAAAAATATAGATAATTATTGTCTATATCTACATATGTTTTACTTTTTGAAAAACTATAAAAAAGTTTGGATGTGTTGTGGAGTTATTTCAACTTTTTTATGAATGGAACGACAAATCCTTACAATGTCTAAAATACAGATGCTATTAAAATTTTAAAGTACACAGGAAAATTTTCCATTAAAAAGTATTGGCACCTTAGTCATTTAATTTTCATAATTTATTATTAAAGCGATGTGATTGTTGATAAACTCTTTTCATATTAAGGATTTAAGAGGGGAAAATTATTTTAAAGTTCAATTATATTTTCAAATTTGGCGAAATTGTAACTGTCTTCAATAGAAAGGTGACCTAACTCGAACTGTCAATTGTTTTTTGTTTTTATTTTTTTACTTATTTATCGTTTCCCAAGCAGACAAAGTACCCTTTTAAGTCATTAATCTCCGAGTAATGGGTGTTAACTCGAAAATTGGTGCGATTTCTGGTTGGAGTTATAAGGAGAACTTTTTGTGGTAAGCGTGCAATGTAAAACTCATTTGATTGATTACGAACGTTTCTTCAGTTTTTTTTCTTCTTTACCCCTTTTTTGGTTCGTAATAGACTTTCAGTGTCAATCATAAGTCCAAAAGCGAAATTTTATTCAGGAATGCTTTTCATTTTGGGGAGCGTTCGCTTTCTTCAACTGATATAAAAACATAACAGAAGTTAAAAAACAAGTGTTGATAGACTCTTGTTGAGTATCAAAGTTCTATGATGATGTTTGTTTTTTTTTCTTTCTATTTTTGAATTTTAAATGCATTCGTTACACATTTTATTCTATAATTTTTTTTATGTATGTAGCATAATTTGTGTTTTATATACTGAGTTCCTGAAAGTAGTTGAAAATTTTGGAAGTATTTTTTTCCTATTAATTTTAAAGAGTCTTTTTTTCACTTTGGTGCACAATTAGTATTTTATTTTCAATGTGTGTACCCGAAAATGGGCCTTTATTGGAAAACCTTTTTCTATTCCTTTTTTAAAAAAAATTTATTAAAATTTTAACTATGTTGGTGGCTATTTCTACGATATATATATAACTTTTGAACGGAATAAAAGTTGTTAATCAAACATGGACTCACCTATCTGGATTTTCTGATTCATTGTAGTTTTGAATTTTAAAGGCATTCGTTATATTTTTTGTTGTAAAATTGGTGTTTTATTTACGAGGAGTCCCTGAAAATAGCTGAAAATTCGCAAAATACTTTGAGTATCTTTCTCTTTTAAATTTTTAAGTTTTCTTTTTGCACTTTTTGTACTATTAAAACTTTATCTTCAAGGTGTGTACCTGAAAACGAGTCTTCCAAAAGAGGCGTCTTTTCTTCCATTTTTTAAAAATTTTCATTAAAATTTTAATTATTTTTGCAGTTATCTCCAAGATTTCTATAACTTTTGAAAGGAATAAAAGTTAGTTAAACAACACACCCACTTGGATTTCCTTATTCCTTATTTAATTTTTTTCTTTTTTATATAAAAATTATTTTATTGCCTTCTTCTTTTTAATGTAATTTTTGATAACTCACTAGAAAAATTCAAGATATTTACTACAAGTTGACTCATACTTGACCATTTTTTGAAAGAGACGATTATTACAAACTGCGGTTTAAGCAAGTTCAAGCAAGTTTTGACCAAAATTTTACGAAACATACTGCATTTTATATTTTCAATAAAGGGAAAATTCATCTTCTGCGCACTGGCCAATCCCAAAAGAGTGAAGGCAGCAACTGGTTTTTCATGAAAGTACGTAACTTCATTCTGACCTAATTGATAAGCACTTTTATTTAAATACAATCTTATCAGGTGTGTTCATTATTCAGAACACATTCATCAAGTTAATGAAGAATTATAATTGTATTGTTTAGTAGCATAAATCTTCATAAACAAAGATCCTCGAATCTTGCAGAAATTGACATTCTCTTCTTCTTACAATACCGATAAAAACGTTTATGGAATTATAAACATCATTTCGTAAAGTTTTCAGTGGCACGGTGTTTATGGACTTAATTATTTATGGGGGTGACGATATACATTGTGATTACTCTTTTTTCTAATCCCGTGTCCCTTTCTCCTCTATAACATCACCCGCAGAAGCCTCTCCTTGAAAAGTTAAATCGTTTACCTAGAAAAGATATCGTTAATAATGTCAAAAAAACGTATAGAACACTCTGAATAACTTCTGATCTAATGATCGGATCTTCACGTTTTGGGACTCAGTGTAAATGGTCCGATGGAGCGAACTCAAATATTCCAAT